CCCCCCCTTCTCCGGCCGGCATCGCGACGCCCCCAGCCGCCCTTTACGTTATTTACACTCTCCGTTTGCAATGTCATGATTTTTACAGCGCCGTGTCGCTTTTACTGCGCGCCGCCCCTGTGAATAAGGAAGCGCCGTTACCTTCTTTTGTTTCGCAGCGGATAGCAATGGGGGGTCGCTATTCGCAGACGCGCTCAGCAGCGGCGCTCAGCGCCAGGTCGTGCAAGATTAAACCCATCTCACGACGAGTCATTCTCGGCCTCAGCCTCGGCCCGGAAAAAAAAACACAAGAAGCGGGTAGAGAAAAACTGCAAATAATACTACCCAACGGGGTGGGTGGCCGCTGCTGGTCGCGCGGATGAAACGGAGAGCAAGCGTCTCCAAGTTTGCGATTCTGCACACAATCGGAGTCACTTTTTGTCAAACATTTATATATTCAGGTCGGGACGATAGGCGTGCCCGGCAGTGCGGGCGGTGCGGGCGGCGAGGACGAGGTGAGGACAGGTCTGGCGGGCGGGACAATGAGGACCTCCCACACGCCGGCCTGCTGCGATCACGCTGCAGCAGATGAGAGAGACATCAGCGCAGCACGACTCCTGAGGGGCGCGGCGGCGGCCCACCCCACCCCCTTGGACCACCATCGGCTGTATCCTCCAGCCGGCCGCCCCTGCTATGCTCCTTCCAAAGAAAGAAAGGCCCGCACGACGACTCTTTACGACCGATAAACATGCGGATAGCTTGTCCTCACCCTCTAGGGGCGGGAAGTCCATGCAAGGGGAAGTCACGGAGGGATTTTTCATATATCCCGAAAGATTTAAGCCCTTTACAGACAAACTCGTCACCCCCCCCCCCCTTTCCCCCTCTCCAAACTCGAAGAGGCAGCAGCACTCGTGGAGGTCAGCGGCCATGCAAGGCACTCGTCCCTTGGCGAGGAAGGTGGTCACGAACAGACACCTCGAGGACAGGGGCAGGACAGCGTCGGGACCGCACACGGGGCGCGCAAACGAGCCGCCATGGCAGGACCTCCCGCTCCCGCC